CCCCCCCAAAAAAAAGAAAACCCTATCTGAAACTTTGACATCTTATTTTAGCATTAGCATAAAGTTAGCATAAATCCCTTAAACTCCTGTTAGGAAAATTTTATTTTAGTCTGTATGCAGCAAAAATATTTTCTTTTTCCTGAATAAGTTTTTTTTTCTAACATGTGGATCTTCTTCAGCAACTAAGAACCAAATTAGTAGTTGGAAGAGCATGCTGTGTGGGTCCAAATATTACTATTTTAATTTAAATTCTTTTGTTTAATGAAAGACAGTTTAGTTCTCTAGCTAGGCAAGGCACAGTTATAGGAGCTAAAAACATAAACACAGATATGTGAAAATATTTTTTAAAAAGACTAAAAACCTGTCAGGTTTTCTTTAACTACATAGTTTTAAAAAAATATATTTCTATTTATTTTACAGGCACATGGGGTTTGAAGTCTCTCTGAGTTCTGGTTGGAATAACAGGAAGGATCGAAAGGAATCAAAGCACAAAGCAAGGGGGTAATAAGATTCATCACAATACTGAGAATGGCTTTTGAATTTGATCCTGTGCTCTAAGGCTGTTTAAATTACTCAACCAAGTAAAATACTAAAATCCTAGATCATAGTTTGGATGATATGACGGCTGAGTGATATGACATAAAGATCATTCATAAGTCGTCTTTTAAAATTAGAGCAATTTTACTGTTCAAGCTGTTTTTTACTCAGACTCGTAACAAAATGTGCAAAACGGCAGCTGCTGTTGCTTCAGGAATTTCTTAATCATCTGTTCACATGAACTAATGCCACATATGCAGCACTGCAGGTACACAAGCATGAGTTTATGAATGAAATTGATTATGTATGCAATGTTACACAATATTAATATAAGCGATATAATTTTATTCTTTATCTTTTTTGAAAATATACAACCCTACGTTATCCCCTCACATTTAATTATGTGAATAGGCAAATGTGGGTATAACCACAAATGCTCAGCATATTTTTAAGACAGAGGGTCTGTGTTACCTTATTACCTTAAGGTATTTTATATATTTCTCCATTAATTTTCTTCAGTTTATCCAATTTGGGGACTTTTCCCACTCGTAAAAAAACCAGTTAAAATATCTTTTTTATCACAGTACTTCTCATTTTCCCTTGGTGGAAGTCCAAACCTCTTTACTCGGCCTCAAAATTTTTAATAACTATGAGAACGCCTGCATAGATAATAGCATGTCGTGAATTTTGAATTTAAGAGAAATATTGCTACGCCTATTACACAAGGTATTTCCAGCTGTATCTCAGGATTATATAACCATAATGTACCTGTCTTGACTTTTTCAAGGTAGGCAAACAAACTCTTTAAGCTAGAGGCTCGTGTCCATATCAAACTGTGTGCTTCATGCTGTGTCATAGTGAGTGTTTTGACATCTTTGAGTGGATGGCTCATAAAGTGACCCTGGAAATACCCCGTGGGCTTTGCCTCTTAAAGGCAAGGTACAGAGATAAGAAATGCTGATGGTTTAATTTAGTTTAACTACACCGCTGTTGTTTTCCTTGGGAAAAATACGTGGTCATTATTTTATTTATGTACGTTAGCTTAGACATGGTTTTTTTCTGCCGGCTGTTGTCACTGTTTTGTTCTTTTTTATTCCATCCTCATTAGCTTTGGTGTAGTGCCCCGACAAACCTGCCTCTTGCTTCTTTGATCTTATGAATTCTTGTTTGTTGTTGACTTATTCGCTCTGGGACACAGCGTGGAAGCAATTCTCGTTCTTCTGTCTAAATGCCAGGGCAAGGGGTTGTTAGTTACATTTAAGATAATGCCTGGTTTGAGTCCAGGCAGGGAGCATGGGATGCATGCTTTCCCTCCTTTAATTCAGCTTTCTACTGTGTATATAACGTGTATCTCATCAAGAAGAAACGCGCTCCAAAAATAAGAGCAGTCTCAGCAATCTACAAACTTTTAACAGTTCCCTTTTAAGTTAATAGCTGTTGACTGTTTCATGCTCAAAGTTAGATTTTGGGTTGAGCATCACTTTTACAGCTTTGAAGGAAACCACTAACCTTCACATCCACAGCTTGAAGCCTTCTCAGATAGGCATGTACAACCCCAGTTCTTTTACTAGCTGTGTAGGAAGCAGGAGGCGGCGGGTCTGGGTCTGGGAGACATCTGGGGAAAGCTTTCAGTGTGGCACTATAAGTAACCGGGGGCGTGGAGCTGTACATTTAGGGACTAGGTGGCTTTACATGAAGACATAACTGTGAGGTTTATTTTCTTGTCCTCCCACCGTAGAATTAAGAGATTTTATGGAAGCAAAAAAGTGTTGACAGCAGGCTCTGGTCTGGTGCATATGTGTTTAACAAATGTGGATGGCGTGTTTATCACAAAGTCTGGCCATAATCACAGAAAGGTAATTATCTAAACAGATGTTCATTCACACCTTTCTTTAAGTGTGAAAATACGGCTCTGTTTTTTATTTTGAAATAAATATTTTCGGATTGGAGGATTGCTGATCATCAGACCCAAATATGCTCCTTAAAAATCTTTTGCTGAGGAACCTTTTATCAAGACCCGTGGGAATAAAGCTTAAATATAAAGACCCAGGTTCTCTGTTCAGATTAGGGCTGTGATACAAGTAAGCATAATGAGTCTGTGTTGAAGCGGCACTGAGTCCCCATTACTCTGTTTGACAAGAATCTACAGTTTTCCTTGTGATTTTGATCATGTAATATACTGAAATGTCTATTGTGCTTGAGTGTTTGATTTAGTGCAGAAAAACACATGGATTTGATGCAAAATGCAAATAATATTGGGAACTTCTCATCAAAACGGAACTCTCAAGCTTAAAATATTCGGAATATTTTGAGTTATTTTTGCTTCATTCTTTGCTTTGAGTCAAGAAGATCAGTTAAAACTATTGTATATGTATCTTGCTATGCTTAAGTGAGACGTGTGCCTACATTAATTTACATTAGGTTGTTGTTTTTATGTTTAAATTTGCTGTACACTGCATGCGTATCCTGGCTGATCACGAGTTAAAAAATGAGCAATGTGAAGGATTGTCCCAGTTTCATGCCGTCGGTAAGGTTCGTGTTTGGGTAGTGGTGATACTGTGCTACTGGGCCTCCAAATGGTACATTACACAACATGGCCAGATGTGCAGGTTTGGAGGGCACGTGACTCTTAATGAGACATTCAGAACTTCTTTTCTTCACGGAGTGAGACATTAGGAAGGAAGAATATTGAGTCTTATGTTAGCAGCTGGACATTTTTTTAATGTGTCATACTTACTGAATGTGACAGTGTGTCACTGTGTTTATTATTACATAGCGTTAGTGGGAAATTCTTCTGGCATGGAATCAGTATGTGTGTGTGCGTATAGAGCCCTGCATTTGAACTTGTATAATAGGTGGTGTATATTATATCACATTTTATCTGGGCTGTTGAAGTGACGCATTCTGAAAAATAAGGAAAACCTCTAATTGTCTCAGTTATCAGCATATTTATGAGTGAATTGCTGTGTCATTCAGTGTACAATGATATAAAACAGCCAAAAGCTTTGGCAGCTTTCTAAAAAGAATATTCTTAAAATAATCTTTTCTGAGAACTACCTATAACAAATACCATGTCAGAATCCATTTCTAAGATTATATCAACATCAAAACTAAAAGCTGATTAAATTAGAACTATGTAAAGTTGAAATTGACATAGTTCGTCATACTTGGAAGTTTTTACCCCTCAGTTGTAAAAGGCTGATGAGGTATTGTTTATATTCAGTTACACACACTCAAAATACACTGACAATTCAATTCAATTTTATTTATATAGCGCTAAATAGGGATGTTCGATATAACGATATATATCGGATGACGATATAAAAACGTCTATCGTTTCATTTTATGCTATCGTTTGTTTTGTGGTGTCGCAAAATAAACTGTTTACGGCAATATTTTTTCATTATTTTGTTGGTCACTGTAGTGACTATATTAATTTCTTAAAGTTCTCTCTTTCTCTTATATTTAATATAACCACACTACGGATGGACAAGCGCCTGTTTTTATGCGTTGTGGTTAGCAACAACGACGGTAACACCGTCGCGTGTCCGCTTGTTTATGGTCCACATAAACCTTTCACAATAAAGCTCAATATCCTGTTGAGACTTTTCAAAATAAACTGAATCACGTGAAAGAGCAGATTATTTACGGATGAGAATTAAAAAAGAGCCGCCAGGTGCTAAAAAATAAACCTTAGACTCAAACGTTAGAACAGGCTTTTCCCCGCAGCACGCCATGTAATAAATACTCACAAAGAAAACAGCGGCCTTTACAACTTATGTCTAAAAATGTATAGTTTCATGCATCGGTTAAAACACTCGACTCCAGCTACATGACGCACAGCTGGAAACACTTCCCGCAAGACGAGCTGCCCGAGAATTCACAGAAAATGTTACATTTTTGTGATTTATATCGTTATCGGGACGATAGATGTCTTATATCGGGATATGAGAATTTGGTCATATCGCACAGCCCTAGCGCCAAATCACAACAACAGTCGCCTCAATCAATTATTATATTCAAATTATGTATGAAGCATGTAATAGTCACTTGCAGCGTGGTGTCCTGAAGATTACAGATGAAAGATATAGTGCCTTAACCCATTTGATTTGTCTTTTGATTGATTGATTTTTTTGTAATTTATTTTCTTGTGACATAAATGAACCAAGTAAAGATAAAGCTTTAAAGAATTGCTTTTTTGATGAATGCTCTATTCAGCGTGGTAAAATAAATTATTCCATATATCGGCAGTTCCAGCACAATCTCAGTCATGTTCCCGTGTCACGTCTCTGTCTCCTCTTGTCATGTACAGTTACAAGTAGTAGAGCAGGAGCTAGATTGTTTGAATACAAACTCTTCTTAGGAAGCCTATAAAGTCAGGCACATCACATGCAAAGTTTGCCCCACAGAAGTCTAGATCTTTAAAACTTTACTTACTTTAGGCGTCTGCAGCCCTAGATTTGAGCAAATGGGTGTCTTCGGCTTAGAGGTTTTTTGGGGTTAGGTAGAGTATTTAGTAGTAGTGCATAAGTGAAAAAAAGTGCTCTTCTCCTTTTCTTCTCTGTACCCACATGTCCTGGAGTTAGATGGCGTCCCTGAGCCTGGTTTAACCAGACATCTCTTCCTGTAACAGGAAGCTCTTCCTCACTGTTGTCACCAGGTGCTTACTCACAGGGGATTGTCTGATCTATTGTGTTTTCTCTCTAATATTGTAGGCTCTTTACTTCACGATAGAAACCACTTTGAGACAAAGTTTGTATTGCTGGCACTATATACACAAAACTGAAATTAATTTAATTGAAAATAAAATTTTAGATTTATATTAAAACCTCTTAAAAAAGCTGCCTTTGGTATTTACAAGTTGCACTGTCAGTTTTGTGACTGAAAGGCGTGGACACAGGTATTTTTATGGCTAGCTTTATTGCAGCCTTCCAGAAAATTTAGGAGGAAAATATTTAAATGACTCACACAAACAGGATTTACTAAGGTTTGCGGCACACAGTTTACTATAAATTGCACCAACTTTAACACAAAAAGGCCTGTCTTAGTTTTTTCGCCTTATGTGGTTGTGATAGCTGCCGGTGGGGGTTTTGAAATTGGAGATGTTATCAGAACTAGTGGGTAATTGCCGATTGTGGATGACTCAAAGCTGTGAGCACGGCGCCAAAGTTTTGGCTCTCTCCTGTAGCTCTTCACGGAGTTTGGAGCCGAGTCCCTCATATTTCTGGTCTTCAGTAATACTGGTATATTAATGTAGCAGAACTGACTGAACTGAACTTGACGTGGGGTATTGGATGGCTTTACTTCAGCTAAACTTAAATGTAAATTATCATTGGATTAGGGATAAAAGGTTAATGCACATATACTTGATTTTCAGCACTTACGCCAACATTAATTTCTAGCAATTAGATTTAAGAAAATGATAAGTCAGTGTTTTTATCCATTTCTAACACATATTTAAAAACTACTTTGCTTACTTTGAATGCCTAAGCAGCACATACTGCTCTGTGATCCACACTCTGCTGTCATGATTTGTCTGGCCGGACTCAAATGCAGGACTCAGGAATGAAAGTGCGGTGAGTTTATTTACAGTGCTGGTGTAGATAGTGCTATATACAAAGTCTTTTTGAAGTGCTCGGTTTAAGAGTCCAATATGTACAAAATCTAATGGAAGGAAGTTTCTGTGAATCAAAATCCCCGAACAGAATCTCCTAACTCCGCCAAGTAACAAACAGTCTCGGAACTCCGCTGGGACGTCCTAAGCACATAAAGAAGCACATTAGAGGTCTTCGGCCAGTTCACAAAGCCTTACAAAGAGACAAGATGAAGAATACCACAGTTAGATAACACTCAGGTGAATTCTGAAGGTCAGGTCCTACCTTAAATAGCAAACAGGTGAATGGCAGTTTTCTGTGTGAGAACAGCATTTTTATATGCATCTTTTTCTGCATTGTGTTATGTATTTCATGCAGCTAGTAATATCAGATAGCCAATATATCAATCAGACTTTAATGCGGAGTGCATTCATTACCATAATAGGCAAATAAATATATTGTATATTGTTGTAAATTAACAAATCAACGTTGAATGGCTTTTAGTTTTTAAGGTGTAATATAAATTACGATGGCAATTACACTTAGGCGTTCCATCTGCTTCATTACTCTTCCCTTTGTGTACTAATATTGAGGATGTGTTTGGACATGAGCTACAAGGCACAGCCATCATTGAAGGATGAAAGTGTTGTTATTGTGAAAAAATACACTATTTGATTACCATGTATAGGAAAGACAAAGTACTTGCCTGTGATTTATTTCGAATCAGGAGGTAGGTGTGCATTCTGCAGAAGAGCTAAGTGCTCATACCCATCTGTGCAAACAAATGGAGCTAAACAAAACACATAGTGAGTACAGTAGAAGAGTGTGTGGCGTCTTTATATGTAAAATAAAAGCTGAGCAATTCATTCTGTGTGTCAGGAAAAAGAGAGACAAATTGAGAGATATACAAAAATGGAAAGAGTAAGAAATCATTTTTTTCCTACTCTGTATTATCAGATTCTGGCAAGAAGAGCTCTGTGCTGAACTTAGTTTGTCTTCAAATTGAAAATAATATGTCAAAGGCAGGAAAAAGTGTGTTAGTTATGTACATTTGTAATCCTGGAGGGCATGTCAAGAGCATATGTGTCAAGTCCTGTTCCTCAGAGTATCCTTTTGTCCTTCAGGTGGATGTACAGCAGTGAGTTAAATGAATTTGCTTGCATTATACAAAGTTTTGGAACTTTTTTGTTTGCTTTTTTTGTTTCAGGAAGCTCATTTTATCTTTAATGCACATATTGTGGTTGTATTATGTCAGTAGCACCATGGTTGACTATATGTTTTCAAATAGAACAATAAGCTAAATTGCAGTAAAGGTTATAAAGAATGTGTAAAAAACCTTTGTGGCCTTATTCAGGCCAAAGTGTAATATATATATGGCATGCACAATGTTTAATTTTCTGAGCTATTCCACCTCCTTTTAGAAGATCCCTGTAATGGCTTTTCATGTGACCTGTAGCACTAATGAAAAATGCCATGTTAACCAACCGATAAATCTATGTGAGAAGACAGTGTGCCGTCACTCCCTAAACCATGTTTGATAGAAGTAGAAGTAATGATGTTTCTTTTTAGTTTAGGACATAGAAAAGACAGGGAGAAGGATTAAAAGGGGAGCAAAAGAGACAAACTGGAGCACAGGCCAGCAGGGGAATGGGGGCAGCCATACTCGGTTATGGTAGAAGCAGCGAATCCTGGAGGGAGTAAACCTTTAGTTTCTTCTTTTGTCTCTGACTTCATTTGTTACCCTTGGCAGCTCGAAAAGAGATGACATAACCACCTTAGTGTTCAATGAATCAATGTAGATATTTGCCTTTTAAGTTTGCATGCATGACCCAAAGCTTTCTGTTCTCTCCACAGGGAGTAAGAGGACGTGTATGTTGCCTCTTGCTGTAGTTTTTCCACCACTACCATGAGCTGGAGTTTTCTGACTCGCCTGCTGGAAGAAATCCACAACCATTCTACATTTGTGGGCAAGATCTGGCTCACCACTCTCATTGTTTTCCGCATTGTGCTAACAGCCGTAGGAGGAGAGTCAATCTACTACGATGAACAAAGCAAGTTCGTCTGCAACTCAGCACAGCCAGGCTGTGAGAACGTATGCTACGACGCCTTCGCTCCACTCTCACACGTCCGCTTCTGGGTCTTTCAAATTATCCTGGTGGCCACCCCTTCAGTTATGTACCTGGGCTACGCTGTCAACAAAATTGCTCGGGCAGAGGAGAAGGCAGAAAGTGGGGGAGTGAATGGATTTTCCCAGAAGAAACCCAAGAAGCACTATCTTGCAGGCAGAAAGCAGCACAGGGGCATTGAAGAGGCTGAGGATGACGACGAGGAAGACCCGATGATCTATGAAGTGGCAGAGGTGGAGAACGACGATTGTGAAGCAGAAAAGGGAGGCAGCTGTGATAGAAAAGAAAAAGCCAAAGTACGCCATGATGGGCGTCATCGTATCAAAGAGGATGGATTGATGCGCCTTTACGTCGTCCAACTCCTGTTGCGCTCCTTGCTGGAGGTTGCTTTCCTCTGTGGTCAGTATGCCCTCTATGGCTTTTCCGTTCCTGCCACCTACGTATGCAAAGACCAGCCCTGTCCTCATAAGGTGGACTGCTTTGTGTCGCGACCAACTGAAAAGACAATCTTTCTCCTCATCATGTACACAGTCTCCCTGCTCTGTCTAGCACTCAATATATGGGAGATGCTTCACCTGGGCATTGGTACCATGTATGAGATAATACACTCCCGCAAGATGGAGCTCCCCAATGAGGAGCTCTACGGGCTGGCAAGAGGACAAGGCCGTCTTAACGAGGTGAGATTGAGTGAGGAAGACTACAGCTCTTACCCATTTTCTTGGAATGCACCAGCGCCTCCACCTGGGTACAACATCGCCGTCAAACCTTCTCTAGGGAACCACAACCAACCACTACCCATCACTGATCTCACTAATGCCAAGCTGGCATGTCAGCAGAATCACGTGAACATTCCCCAAGAGGAGCGTCAACAGAACGGCATTAATGATGAAAACCAGTGCAGAGTTGGGAAGGGAGATGCACCCAGGGCTGTTCATAAGGACAGCGGTAGACCTCAGAAAATCCTGGAGGGTGATAATCAGACCTACATCCAGCTGCAGAGCCACACTAACAACCACAGCAAGCCCCACCGTGAACGTAAACACCGGCAGACCAACAGACACGCCTCCAGCAGGGCAGATACAGACAGAGGCAGCAGCAGCACCAGCAGTAGCAGCAAATATGGAGTCATAAAGGGTTCAGAGTGGATTTGAAACACGACTATGTAAAACAGCTTAGCTATTTAGCTCAGTTCAGTGAAGAAGCTTTGTATAGCAGGAAAATAATATCTTGAATACCTTTTGTGCTAAGATTTTGGTACCCTGTTTTTGTTTACCTTCTTTAAGCAGAGACTTTAATGCTGCAATTGAAAGTGCCTTACTTAAACCATCTAAAAGCAGCTTCATTCAAACTGAGCAACCCTTTATGTTACAGAGTTAATGTTTTTTTCATTGCCATCCACAGTTAAAGATTTGAATAATTTTGCTCATGAATATTCAAAATTGTTCTTCAGTTTCTTTTTGGTGTAGATCGTTTTCCCACAAGCAACAAAAAGGCTGTTTTCACATATGTACTGCAGCCCTAAACCGTATCAATCATTAGATATTGTCTTTAACATGCCAGTTCTCTAGTAAAAAATGCATGATGTTTAATTGTGCAAAATCAAGAATAGAGAAGCGAATATTCTGCTGAGTTCACAGGTAATGAGTGGTCATCCTGTTTCCTGCCTCCTGCACGCTATAGTCAGGCAGTGCCCTCCTCACGACCACAGGGAGTTTTTCCGATAGTCTAAATGCAGCTGACTGGAATGTCCTGCTGTCTGTTTTATGTAAGTTAAAACAACAATGTCCTGGTCTAATTCTGATGATTTTTTTTTAGAAGTTGTGTTTGAAAACAGCTGACAAAAAAATAACAGACAGTATTTCAGCTGGTAATTTCACCATATTTTCTTTTGGTATTTTAAAAGCATTCCCACTATTTTTTAGAAAGAAAAGAGAAGTTTTCGTTATTGTTTCGAGAGGCAAGTTTAAAAAAAAGTCATATATTATAGTACAGGTATTACCTTTTTTTAACATACTTTATTTTTTCAACCATTCATCCAGTAGTATACATTAAAAAGAACGAGTGTATCAAGCTTTTTATATGCTTCATTTGTTTCTTTCTTTTATCAATCTTTTACTTGGATTTCCATATTTTCAGTCTGAAAGGCCATTTGTCATTTGTTGTTACTGTGTTTGGTTTTGTTAAAAAATATTTTTAGGAACAAAAAGTGCATGTTTTGAATAAAGAGTTTGTATTTGTCTCATAATCTTTGTCTTGTTTTCAATGATTTGATTGTCAGTCTAGAATGAAAACTATATTATTAATTTAATGCTGAATATTTGAGCATGTGGGTAATTTACACTGGTAGTCAGCTTAAGCTTGCATTGCCCTCTGCTGGGCACAAAGAGGGAATAATATAATAGTTCTATGTCTCTTTCAGTGGGATCCCTGTAGATAAAACTTACCAAAATTTTTCTGTCTATATTTGAAATCTGTCATATATTGGAAGTTTTATTGAAAGAAAAACTCATCACTGAGAAATCTAATATATTTTGTGGTGAAATATTTAGTTTATGGCTCCTTAAAACTAACATGGCAAGTAGAATTTAACATAGTCAAAAATGAATCTTGGGGATTCTCTCTGGAAATGTGTTTAACCAGTGATTGTAGTTTTCTGTAGTCATTGTGTTTGACCCGCTGATATGCTGATAATCAGTTGCAATAAGTGTCAAATGAAGCATAAACTAAACAGCTAAGTTGCTTTTCATTAATTGTTAATGTCTGTTTTCTTGAATTTCATAAGTTATTTGTCTTATTTTCTTTTTCATGGGCCAAAATTGATAACCAGGGTGCTTTTGTGTTGGGTTCAGGATACTGTACCAGTGACTGTAAGAACCTTACCATTAACTCATAATATAGTTATACCATTAACTCATAATATATTTCATATATTAAAAGGTATATTTGAAAATGAAAATGAAAGCCAGGGCTCACGTTTCAGTCAACAGGTTATGTGGAGGGCAGCGTCAGGAGCAAATAGTCTTTTCTTTTTTGACGTCAGTGCTAAATTAAAATGGGAAGGCGTTTCAACTTTTGATTTCACACTGATTGAAAAGCACCTGAAGGCAGCGTCAGACCGGATGTTACGCCGTCTTCATGTCCGCACGTCCTCCAGTGTTTTTGAAAAAGCGGCGGTTACAGCTTCGCCGGCTTGTTGACGAAGCGATAGCAGTGGGGGTTTTTTTCGCTTCTCTCCAGCACAGGAACAAAACACAAGTAAGCCATGTTTCTTTTCTCTTTTTTGTCACAAAGAAACAGAACATGGGTTAAATTAGCCGACATTGAATGGTTTCTGGCTGTTGTTAGAGAGAGCTAACCTCGCTGTAGTCGGCTAAAGCTAACTAGCAGAGTGGCTAGGCTGAAACTTGAACTGCGCAGTTGCGTTTTGGTGGTTATCTTACGTGACCGAAATTTAAACTGCTGCACTTCAAAAAAAATCGTAAACATAGTTGCTAGAAAGCTAATTTATACTCTTGCCGGTTTTGTAACTTAAAAGCTTATTTGGATCTTGACAGATGTTCCTTTAATTTTTGTAGGCTCCTGGTGCTTGTGACAGCCTTTACTGCACCAGGATCATGCAACAGCAGCAGTATTCAAAAGAACGTGGATATGGGCTCCTGGGGAAGCTGTGTCTTGGGCCAAAAAAGCTGGAGGGAAAGACCTTCTACCTGGACAATGTGAAGAAACAGCCAACAGTCCTGCTTTTGGAATCCATCTCTCTTTTTGGAGGGGTAAGCATATGTTAAGATAGCCTGCCAGTGGAACCTTTTTTTACAGGCTGTTGTTTAAAGGCTGTCGCGTTGTATTTAAAATATATCTTCAAAAGTGTCTGTAAGAAGACACACTTTTTGATATAGATGACAAAAGCATCAATCTTGAGTCTTTTAAACCTTTGAATAATGGATTTAGTCTTGAATTCTGCACGCATACAACCCTAATAACGAATATATTGATCGTCCTCACTGATCTGATCTTTTCTTTTGTATGTCATTGCCTGTACTCTTGTCTGTTTTCTTTAGAAAATAAAGTATTATTACTGTTGATAAACACTTGATAAGTCCAAATGGTCAGTGAACACTTACAGTACATCCACTGGACTGAGGTTAGATTTTGCATTCATCAGAAACTCACATGGATATTGTTTTAATATATATTTTTTTTCTTTTGAAGAGGGTCGAGAGTTTTCTACACAAGGATGTAAACTTTGTTGTGACTGGAAACAAAGAAGGCCTGGACAAGAAGAGTATTGTTTCCAAGGGTGGGGCAAGTCAATCAGCCCAACAATTGATTAAGCAGCGGGACAACGGCCTCATCAAGCAGCGACCTGGAACTCCCAGGCCAATGGTACTTTATCTCCTTTTATCACTTTCAGTCAGGCTTTTGGTTAGCTATCAAATACCACAAATCTATTTTGGCAGATGATTTACTGCCCTGAAACCTGGAAAGCTACTCTGAAAACATTCTAACACAAGATCACTAAAAAGATCAAACTCATTAGGCATTAGTGTAAGTTAAAATGAACTACACTGCATAACTGCACTGCATTTGTGTCTATAGGCTTGCAGCAGTCGAGGGAAAGCGCTGCTCGAAAAAGCCATTCGCAACAATGTAAGTCAATGAAGACAAAATTCTCTTTATAAGTACTGATGATGTATTTTGATATTTTAATTCTTCGCTGTCTCTTTTTTGATGAATCTGCCTTGTAGGAACGACTGCAGGGAAGCAGTGTTTTGTCCAGTGCTCGATCATGGGGAGTCAAGATTTTGCATGTGGATGGTATCCTTTTGACTAAATTTAATGGAATTTCACAACACACCATGATTAACATGCAGTGAGCCTATGCTCACAGCAGATGGCATTGTGTGATTGCTCATGTTTTCGTGTATGCTGCTATTTTAATGCGGCTTTTAATTGGAGTTGTCTGCTGTGTACCAGTTTGTGGCTGTTTATCTTCTCCAAGGAACAATCAGAAACTTGGCAAAGCGCTACATCAAATCCAGACTGTTCCTAAAGTGGCTGGACTTGAACTATTGTGTTATTTTCAGTACTCAAAAGTATCTTTTTAGGAGAGATGTCTACAGTGTCCTTTGTACTTTGTTTTAAACTCAGTGCCCAGATTAAATAAACATTATTTGTGTTTTGCACATTGAAAGTTGTTCCTTAATGTGTTATCAGATGTCCTCCGTTATCTGAAACATTTAACTCGAGAGAGCTTCAGTACTAAACACAAGAGGGCAGAGGTGAGGTGTTTGAGCTGTTTATCTTTTCACATCATTTGACAGATTTCCTGTTGTAGCGGTTTTTAGATTTTAGGGCTGGAAAATGGTAACGATGGCGAGAAAACACATGATGGAGACCAATTAAAACTGAATGAAGTAAAAGATATAGTTGATGTTGGTTTCATATTGATGATTTTTATTTTTACTGCAGAAGACTGGCACTAAATATCAAGGCTTTCCTGCTGTCAAGGGTAAGTCTGTGGTTATGTTTTTATGTTTTGATTCAATTTCCTCACATTTGTACTTTGGCTAATTTATTTGTCTTTTCCTTCTCAAATCTGCTGTCAACAGCTTTGGCTTTGAGATCCCCGTATCTTAAAATTGAAGACTTGAGCAGGTGAGTTCCCTCTTTTGAGGAGTTCAGTTTATATTTAAGGAAGAGAAAGTTTATTTCTTTCCTTTAGAAATCAGTCGCGCCTAGTTTTAGAATAGCTTAAAATAACAAGATACTCCGATGTTTTAAGTTAATTTTTTTTTTCTTCCCCAAATTAAATCCTAGTCAGTAAAGACAGACAAGTTGGGATTTAGCAAGGCAAAGGAAGGTTTTTCTTTCTCCCCCAAGGCCTGCAAAGCCTCATTTAATGGTTCGGTGTCAGATTCGAGCCTTTTTTAGAGGGTTAAGCATACTGACAGTGAAGCAGCAGTGGGGGGCAGTGATCTATCCCATTGTTTCTGCCCGTCTTGCCCCACTGGGTGCTGGTTCTGGAGGTGTGTATTTCAGCCCAGTTGAATTTCTTGTAATGTGACGAGCTCCCCTCCCACTGAGGCAGCTCCCCAGGAGGCCAGAGCTCAACTGGATACGATTTCTATTTGATGAGGCTTTGCAAGCTCCACTGCCCCTTCCTGCAGGGGATCTCTGTGTGCTAACAGAGCCCATCATTTACGCTCTCATTTCAGTTAATTGATGTGATCTGGCTAATGTGTATGGGCCATTGCTATGACATTGAACCCATGGCATCTGGACTGCTAGATACAGTCTATCTCAAATAAGTTTTTGAAAAGTGGTTAATATAGCTTCAAAATGCTTCAGTTATATAATTACTGTATTACTGAGTCAGTCTTTATATTCTTAGTGTTGTAATGTTGAAACATTGATACAGACATTTTTATTTGGTTTTTCATTTTTTCTATTGTTCCTCCCTCTGTTATTCTGCCATGTAAACAGGAAATACAAGCCTTTGCACATGCAGTCTATGACCTTCCCAGATCTGTACTACGCTGGTCGATTCAGTCCCTTTGAATGTCCTCCTCCTCCTCGGTTTGAAAAGAAGACAGAGATGGAGGAAACCAAAACAAGGTTTGTTCACATGTGGTTGGTTGGCTAACTGTTTGAATAATACTGATTTATTTATTTTTTTTATATATATATATATATATATATAAAAATATAAATATAAAAAAACTGTTTTGATTATTTTTCATTTTTGAATAAATGGTTGAAATGATGGTGGAAATAAATTGCACTCAATGAAGAAAGTGTTTTATTCTGTAAAAAGTATTTTGAGGGTTCATAATATTTGTATTTTTCTTAATTAGGGTCAAGAAAGTTGAAAGTAGCATTCAAGAAAAATCCCAAAGTAAATCCCCACTTAGTTGTAACCCTTCACCTTGGCGACCACGCAAAAAGGACCCTTCTTACTGTGAATGCTGCCAACAATCATTCACAAATCTGGAAGAGGTAGGAATTTTATTTTATTTTTTTAATTATTATTTAAAGCAAATAGAAGTTGGTTCCTTTGGGTGATTTTGTTCATTTTCATGGTGTGGGTTTTTGTTTTTTTTGTCCTTGAAGCACTTGCAGTCCAATCAGCACCGCACATTTGTGCTGGATCCTTTGAATTACAGCTTGGTGGATGAGCTTGTGGTTGATATGCTTCCAGAATTTGATCCCAATCCACCCCAGCAAGAAGAACTGAGCAGGTCAGCTTGGATTATGATATATTTTGATATAGATTTATTTAAAAAAAAAATTTTTCTGTTTTCAACTGATCGTCTGTATCCTTCTCTAGACTTCCAACTCCTTTGCTTATCCATGATGTCTGTGAACTGGAGCCTCTTTCTGATGCCGAGACGGAGCATACTGTTCAGGCCTTGCGGAGACGAGGTTCATCATTAAATACTCACCTTTCCAGCCCTACCAGGGGTCCTCTTTCCTGTCCAGGCCCTGCCAGTCCATCACCAGGAGTTCAGTTTACCGTCCCAAATCCAGGCACTCAGCCCACTGGTGCTCAGTCTTTCAATCATGTGACAGACTGCCAGCTGCCTGATATGCATCCTCAGGCTTTGAGTCCAGTCATGCCTGTATTAAAACCTGAAGTAGAAGCCCAGGACTCAGTCAATCAACTGCCTGAAATTCAGCGTCTCTCTCCATGTCCCCTCTCTGACCCTTTCTCCCTGCCTCCAGTCCTCAGCCCCCAAGTCCCCTATTCCTACATTATAAATCCTCAAAGTCCTTACTCAGACCCCCCTGTCCTCAGTCCCCAACCATACATCACAGAGGAGCCTGTGGAAGGATCAACTGAGGATGGTGTGTTTACATTTGCCTCAGCATTCAGAGATTTTCTCTCCACCCCACCACTTACCTCTGGGGCTGTGACCAATGCAGGAAGAGCAAAAACGGACAACGTTGTTGAGTTTGCTGGGCTTGTGTGTTCTAACAGAG